TAGAATATAGAATATAGAATATAGAATATAGAATATAGAATATAGAATATAGAATATAGGAAATATAATATAGAATATAGAATATAGAATATAAAATATATAAAATATAGGATATAGAATATTAATTATAGAATATAGACTATGGAACATAGACTATAGACATAGAATATAGACTATGGAAATTTTATTGCTTATTTGCTTATCGATTTAAGTTAGCTTTGATATTGTTTTCAATAGTTGTTTCATTAAAATTGTATGTCTGTGTGGGAGGACCTTTTTTCAGTTTGAAATGTAAGTGCATTTTTTAAATCCCGACTTAGAGTTTGATTCCATTATTAACGGGTCTTTGTTTACTCTAGACTAATGATGAGCGTTAGCATTAAAAGCTGAAAATTGAGTTTTACAGAGCTCGGCTTTATAGCATTTGTTTGCGATAGTCCAGCAAATCATCGCAATCAGTAGCTGATTGCGATGTGTATGAAGCTTTGTCGTTTTGGCTGTGGAATTCCAGTGCCGAGGGCGTGTTGTGGACCATGTGGACAGTGCTCATTTGGATGTGCAAGATGCTGTTTTACCTGCTGTGGGTTATACCCAGAGAGCTTTTGCGGTCCCTGCAGTGAGTCCTCTTTCGATCCAGCTTGGTTCAGCTGGCTGGCCCCAAATAACTGCTGCAATCGGTCATGCTGCTAAGCTTATTTTTGCTGGGCTATTGTAAATATTAGGCCAATGGACTTTTAATAAATCTCAAGCAATAGACAGATAAGAGTTGATCTAAAAGTCGTATTGGGTTCAGCTGAGCGCCAAGTGTGTTCGGGTATGAGATGCTATGTATAATATATATGAGGCAAAAGTCTCAAAATTCTCTCCATCTTAATGATATTATTTGCGAAATAGCTCAATACCTGAACCTTAACTAAAATCAATCGTAAAATAGTAATAAATATTTATTGTTGCTGTTACTGTTGTTGTGCCCTGGTAACACATGTAAAGATTGTAAAAATGAATTTTTATTGTTGACCACGGCAAGGCACGACAGTGCCAATGCCCGTGCCCGTGCCCTGGTACGCTCCTCAAATTTTAAAATCAGGAATTGACGATTATGCAAAAATCCACAATACACCTTTATGGCTGAGTCGGATTTGTGGGCAAGGGCCTGGGCCTGGCGTGGTGCGACATATGATTTCTTACCACCTCCTGAGTATGACATTTGTTTTATGCCTACTTCAGGCGGTGGACGCATAAGGCAACACATGAGAACGGCCTGCGATAAAAGTTAAATATGCAAAAAGATGAAAATCTATAATTTTTTATGAGTTTTCCCTGCGACACCGGCCGAGCCGAGCCGGGAGCATGGATCAGCCACAGAGTGTAAAAGGCGCAGGGCAGGGGCGGGGCAGGCGTGTTGCCACATTATGTCGCATTTTTATGTTGCTTACTCGCGTGTGTTGTTGCCACTAATTTGCCACGCCCAACCCCAATGCCGCCCGACTTCGAGCCGACTGAGCCGCAATTTGTTGCGGTTTTTCGGCATTGGCGAAATTTGCGCAATTTTTACGATTTGAGATTTGCACGAATTATATATATATTTTTATAGTTTTACAATATGTCGACCCAGTTCGATCATCAAAGTTGCATTTGCTGTTGTTTTGTATTAAATGTATATACATATAAGAATTTATGCGTCTGCCGTTGCGTCTTTTCTGATATAGCAGTATACAGGATGAGTCTAAAGGAGTTTGGATGAAGAAGGTAAAACAAAATTAAATTAAGTGAATTGTCTGGAAACGAGCTCGTAGCTGAGAAATTTTATGCCACGTCTCTGAATACATTGAAAGAAGTCTTTGGGAGAATTATAGTGCATGATTTATAAGAGTTTGATATCGATAGAATTACTATAAATTAAAATTTTCAATTATTATAGGAGGAAAGCTGATGTCGTCATGCTATTAATTCCTTTATATTTAGCATGCCATTCATCTGCTTTCTTCTATCATCTTAGTACATACTGCTGATTTATACTTCATCATCAAAGTTTGAACGATGTCGCGTAGATTATATTAGCAATGGCCAACAAATATATATTGTAAATTGTCAGATATCATATATCAAGCCTACAAAGTCCAAACGTTAACCTATGTATATTGTTATCATATTTGTAATTAAAGGAATCTTGCTTGAAGATTCAGAGGAGGTTTATATCTAACATTTCATGAATACTTAGGCAGCACGTATATATGTGTATTAGTAGTTTATTTCAATAAAGAGAATATTTATAATATTTAACTATTTTATTGAATAATTGGTTTACCTCTTCCAGTTGACTTTTTTTTAAGCTCAAGTCAATAAATTGGTAATGCTCGCTTATGGTAGATATTCTATGATATCAGCTCGAACATCACCACAAAAATTGTAGCACGTGTTTGGGCTGACGACCCAAAGAAGCAATCGACTCTTTGCCGCATCGGGGGTAAAAACAACCCGCGCTTTGTTTTGCCCACTTTTTATTTTAATGAGTGTTGCCGCAAAACAAATCCCACGGCTTGTAAACTCTGTAAAATGTTATCTCTAATGCTTGGAATTTAAATTTTTGGCGCATAATTTACATGAGCATTAAACGAGCAGCAAACAGCGACATCCACATGAATGATGAGGCGTCGGCACGCGACCAACCGCAGATATCCAGCAACAGTGCCCCGCCCCCTTGTCAGAGGCCTTACGCCTTCCGGCTTCCGGCATCCGGTTTCGGCTTCTGCCTCCGGCAAGCCGTGGGATGTGCCAACAGGCAACTATTAAACGGCTAATGGCGATTTCATTGTATGGCCAGATATTAGTTACCCGATAGCCAAAGCGAGTCACGGCCACATGTTTTGCTGTGATTACATGCGAGTTGACACGCCGCTGTTCCGCTTTGCCGCTTTCCTAGGGTGTCTCAGCCACGTGACCAGGTCACGTGTCGTCAATTCAGCCACAAACAAAATGCTACAAGTTATTCTGCTCCCCATACTCTGCCAAGGGGCATATCCACTCGGAAAAGCATTTAGAGCTCAGTATTATTATAATAATTTAATTAATGCCAATATAAATGTTTTGAAAATATATTTTTTAATTATAAGCATTGCAGTGTGAAGTCAAGATATACCATTGCAAAAAAAATAAATGAGAAACTGGCATAAATTCACGGTATTAAACTAAAATAAGTTAACAAATTTATATATACAAATATATATACATATATTAATATAATAATAGCATATAAATAATAGCATTTACTAATATTAATTATTGTTTTAATTACCTGAATGAATTAGACTTTGAATATAAATTGTTTTATTTATATTTAAAATGTGCTTTAATATATTTTATTAATATATCAATTCAATTAATATAATAATTATTATAATGACATTTATTTTCAATAATTTAATAATAATCTTTACAAGAAGTTTGCATATTTTAAAAATAAAAATATAATATTTACATAAATTATATACAAAATGTTTTTTAATTTAATTTTACTATTAATATAATAAAAGCAAAGTTAAAACAGTTATAATAACAAAAATAATAATAATAAATAATAAAACAGTTATAATAATAAAATAAAACAGTTATGAGAATAAAATATTTGCATATCATTGATTTTATTTAATAAATAAATTTCATAAGAAGCTTTCAGCCACAAGGTGCTTGAATGAAAATCCGATTAATAAATTAATAAGAGTGTATCCCAATCTGAACAACATAGTTTTCAATGATTTTTTTCCCTAGATGGATAGGGCAAGGTAACGTATGCCGGGTCGGCAAGTAATATATATTTTGCTAAAAATTGTATATGGCTTTTGTATAGTACAGTATAGAAAGACATACATACATACATATGTATATACGAGAATTATTTTATTATTATTAATTATATATTGCTGTTACCATCTAATCTAAGTCATGATCTCACTACATTACATTAAATTACATTACATTACACAACTTGCATCTCGGTAAGGGTATTCAAGCGTCGCCTTGGGCTAGTTTTTGTTATGGCTCTACTTCTAATATTTGTGTCTTTTAATGTAATCAAATTATGAAAATAATATGAGAGCGTCCGTAAGTCAAGTTGCCAAAATGTTGAGTGATTGTTTTCGCACGGCATCCCTCTCGCCCTCACCCTGTCTTACTCTCTGGGCGTCGGCCTAGGGCCGCCTGCTGAGATTCACTTAAGCCAGCCCTTTGGGGGCGACCAAATAAATTATATTTAAAATGCTAAGCCCTGGTACCCGTACCAGTCAGTCAGCCATCTAGCCATTCAGCCAGTCAGCCAGTCCCTCGTCTACATACTCCTCCCAGTGGGTGTTTCTATTTCAACACTCGAGACCCACTCAGAGCGCTCCAATTGGATTTATGTTTGCGCTTAGAGGCCCACCAGGGTGGTTGAGCGTTGGGTTGGTGGCTTTGATGGGCTTCGTGGGTCGCTGGGCTTTTCGGTAGCTCGTTAGACCGCCCACGAGGATTTGCTTATTGCTTTTAAAAACATTAAACTCTTGCGCTCTGCCACTCTCGTGTTGTTCTTGTAATTACTTGAGCTTGAGCCGACCCACTGTTTTTGTTGTCCTCTCAGTCGTCAAAATGACACATCACGAACTTTTTTAATTTGTTTATGATAATTTAAGTGTTAGACAGGGTTCGTAGTCATGTCTGGCAGTCATTTATTATGAGGAACGAGGTGAGCGTGAAACACCTGTAAGAAAATCATTGAGAAAATGGTGTGATTGAAAATGCGATATGGATTTGATGATAACTCACGAGTTAGTTCAACTGCTGCTCACTTACATTAAAACTGCATGAGATGGGAGGGGACCAGATATACTCTCTTCAAATTGGCAGCGGGTATCTAAGCTTGATTCAGTTCATTAATTGATAAGCATTTATCGTAAAGTAAAGCGGCAAGCGCAGATCCTTGAAGCCATTCAACTTGCGAGGGGAATCCTTCAGTGGCGCACTCAGTGCAATCAATCTCCGATGCGGGCTCTGCTCAAATGCTGTGCGCAATATGCGCAGATTAATTAATTTGTATTACATGCATAGATATACGCACACACACACACACTTACACACTCACGCGCGCAATAAGTCAAGCCGTTGTTGTACAATAATTAATCAAATCAAATGCATAAGTTTCGGTAATCACATGCGTTCCATTTGTAGCAACAACTGGGAAATCAAATCAGCGCCCGAAATGCGCTTAACTTGCATGTCAATTACAGCTGGCGAATAACTGCCCCGCCTCTCGCCTCCCGACTCCTGCCTCTCGCGATTTACGCCTGCCCCCACCTCAGCTAATATTCAAAGTCAATTGGCGGAACTCATGAACTTATCGCCAAGGGTTCGCATGGCTCTCCATAGATCGGGGTTTGAGGCGCGATTATTCATGCCGCACGCACAAAATGCAAATCGAATGCGAATCACTAAAACGCGAAATTGGCAACGGCGCGCTGCGAGCCCACTGAATATCGATACGATTTTCATTTCAGCCAATTTCATGCTAATATGCCGCCATTTGCGTTTAATAGTTGATAAGCCCGTGGAAGCGGGCCGCGACCAAGATGCAAATTCAAGCTGTGGCCGCGACCAATTGGATTACACTTGCCGGGGGCTTCTCTAGGCATGTCATCTATTGGGTAATGAAATAATTCAATTGAAAATTCAATTTCGCCTGATTAAACTTATTTGGTATCATCCTAAAGATCAAAATCTATTTGTTGAGAATAG